AACAACATAGCCTGATATTCACGGATGGATCCAAAAGATCGTGTGGAACTGCCATAGCAGTCTACGACCACCAAGATAAGGAAACCTTCACGGACAGCATCAATACGAGCTACTCCATAACAAATGCAGAGCTAATGGCCATCCTACGGGCTGTTGAAATGGCTAAAAGGAAAAAATACGCCAAAACAGTAATATTGACTGATTCTAGGAGTGCTTGCGAAACTCTCCTGAATGAAAAAACGGTAAATGAAAATTTTATAGCATGGGAAATTTTCAAAGAAATCCAAAATCGAGGAAGGATGCAGATCAAAATTCAGTGGATTCCCAGTCATGCAGGCATTGACGGGAACGAAATCGTGGATCAAGCTGCGGTTAGAAAAACAACAGATCAACAATCAGATTTCAATGGCATCACCATGGGAGATGCCATAAATTTGAGCAAGAAAGAAGTCTGGAGCGATTGGACAGAGCAGTATAAAAGAACATCAACGTCGAAAGGAAGATGGCACTTCAGGATAGCGGAAACCCCATACCAAAGAATATGGTCGAATAATCTAAGGCTAACAGCGCTGCAGATTAGAATGTTAAGCAGAATCAGAAGCGGCCACACACTGACGAAAGATAGGAGAGCTAAATCACAAACGAAGTGACAGACGGAGCGGCTCGAAAACTTTGGTGACTAACCTTCTATTGCAATTTTTCAGTGTACCACATGGCAACACCACTACTACCACAAACGAAGTGACAGACGACTTACTGGCGAAGAAATCCATTTAAATAATGTGGTTCACTGTAATAGAATTTTCTTGGAAGCTTGTGCCATCATCCACCAGATGGGTTAGTTTTTTTGTTTTGATTTGAACAAAGTTGATTTTGTGTACAATGATTCTTTGACAGTGTGCAAAGAGTGCGTATCATTTTGTCATTTTTTTTATGCATTTCAGTTTTGAGTAGAGTGAAAGAGATAGAACCAAAATATTCTAAAACATTTGGTGAAAATGCTAGTTCAATCCAATAGTAGCAACAATCAATACGAAACTAACGATTTTAAATTGGCTCACCACTTTAGTAGCCTATTGGTCCCAAGCAAACGATTAACGTACCCTATTCTAGTTGAAATTCTATTACTACACTATGTTTGTTTTGATTCGCTATGAAAGTTTGACAGATAACATCAGGGGTGTGTGGATTCATGCAGAACATGCAGGGGTGAGTGAAATAGCTTGGGACTGCTTGGGACCGTTGTTCTGGTACTGAGTGAGCCAAAAATAATAATGATTTTCTTCGGGACCCAGTGGTCTTAGAGTTACCTCTATGATAGTAGTGTTGCCATGTGGTACAATCCAGTAGTAGCACAAACGAAGTGAGCGTCTCGAAAACTTTGGTGACTAACCTGCTATTGCAATTTTTCAGTGAACCACATGGCAACACCGCTACTTTTGGATTGTACCACATGGCAACACTACTACTAGATTGAACTAGCATTTTCACCAAATGTACTAGAATGTTTTGGTTCTATCTCTTTCACTCTACTCAAAACTGAAATGCATAAAAAAATGACAAAATGATACGCACTCTTTGCACACTGTCAAAGAATCATTGTACACAAAATCAACTTTGTTCAAATCAAAACAAAAAAACTAACCCATCTGGTGGATGGTGGCACAAGCTTCCAAGAAAATTCTATTACAGTGAACCACATTATTTAAATGGATTTCTTCGCCAGTTAGTCGTCTGTCACTTCGTTTGTGCTACAAATCTACAACATAGAGGTAACTCTAAGACCACTGGGTCCCGAAGAAAATCATTATTATTTTTGGCTCACTCAGTACCAGAACAACGGTCCCAAGCAGTCCCAAGCTATTTCACTCACCCCTGCATGTTCTGCATGAATCCACACACCCCTGATGTTATCTGTCAAACTTTCATAGCGAATCAAAACAAACATAGTGTAGTAATAGAATTTCAACTAGAATAGGGTATGTTAATCGTTTGCTTGGGACCAATAGGCTACTAAAGTGGTGAGCCAATTTAAAATCGTTAGTTTCGTATTGATTGTTGGCATTCCCTAATAAAAAATAACCATAAACGAACGATAACCCAAATCATTGAACTATTCCATAAATGGTTTGGATGATACCCAGAACACGTCGTTAAGCAAATTAACCATACAATTTTTATTAGGGTTACTCAACCATCACGACTAAACGGTCCTTTTCAGGACCACCACAAATTTGTTAAAGAGTATGTTTTGGACATTTGTAAAGGTCATATATCGGATGTCAGTTCCCGCAAGCAGCTAATTATCAAAGCTCAACCTGGTTTATAGAAGGTGTGGAATTGTAGGCCTGAATGTGTTGGTGCAATTCGTTTTCACTCGATGTTCATTCCGCTTCGCACGATTAGTTTCATTCGTTTACTCAATCACCCTTGTAGTGACGTCAAAAAGTTTGTTTCGATCGACGCTTACATAGGAAATTTAATATGGATTATTGAATTTCTTGTATGTTACCGAAATTTATGAATGGTTAGTGGCAGATGTTGAGATAATTAATTGAGATTAATTGATTACTTAATTATCACACTGTATACCATGAAAAGAAGCCTGTTTGTGAGTTTTTTCCTGTTTTCTAGTAAGGAGATATCATAAAAAAAAACAAATCACCAGCTGGTATTTCCCGGCGGCTTTACAAAATAATACAATCAAACAAAATCATCATGCAGAGCTAGCTAGGATTTGTTTTACTTTCACAAATCCAGCTGAACATTGCATTAGGTCCTAAGTAACATTGATCGATTCTCTTCGTCGACTTTCTCTTTCTCTTTAATAACTTGAGCATAGAACCACAGACAAACAGACGTAACTCTTTGTAAAAGTTTTTCTTGAAAACATAGTATCTCAATACATTGGACCTCAGTAACGACATCTCTCGGGCTTCTCGCGGAAAACAAGCTTGCTCGTTAACTTTCCAACAATATTGCATAAAAGTTCTACAGAATGTATAGAAACGTCAAAGTGATCCGACGCCAGCGCTGTGGCGAGTAGTTCGCGGAACTGATAATATTCAAATCAACCGTTAAATGCGTGAACGAAGATACACAATGAAGTGTTACGTCTGTTTGTCTGTGATAGAACCGTTTCTTGATGTGTTTGTCGTATAAACTGCTAGATAAAAGCTTCTTTTATCGATCTGTGTGCTGAAAATACCTGGGTATATCTTAACATGGCCGTGGGGATGCAAAGAGAAAGTGGACGAAGAGAATCTGTCAATGTTACTTAGGACCTACTTGAAATTACATACGTCAGGGCTAGATAGATCTCCACAGGATTTACAAAAAAACCAAAATCGACCGCATTTCGAAAATTCAGGCATAACATTTGATAACGGCACAAAAGCATTTGTAAACAAACTTTCTAAGGCCCTATACACGCGAACCAAAGTACGCCCACGCAAACCAATACAACTTTCGGAAAGGTGATAGTTGCCCCTATTCGATGATGTTGTTGGTTTGCGCGGGCATACTTTGGTTTGCGTGTATAAGGCCTTAGAAAGTTTGTTTACAAATGCTTTTGTGCCGTTATCAAATTAATGTAAGACCTGAATTGGTCAGGTTGCTACCAATAGCAGATGGATTTTAATTCTAAACAAACCAAACGATTGGAAATTTATCTATCAATCTACTAAAATGAACACTATTAGTTTTCAATAGGTCACTATTGAAAAATACACAAATGCCCGACTGTTGCAATGGTGATCAAAATTATCAACGATTGCCTGAAATCAGCGCATTCCCTAACACAGATTTAAAAATCGAATTCAATCCTGTCTCACTGAATGGTGCTCATTCAATCACCGTGTGTGGTGGTGTCCGGTCGACGGTGCCCACAGCAGCAGCAGCAGTAGCAGCAGCAGCAGCAATACTTTCGGCGCGTTTTCTCCCGTACGCTACGAAAGGTTGCCTGCAAACAGCGAGCTGCAGAGTCCACATAAGCAACTAAAGGAAGAAGAAGCACCACCGCTTGGAATCAGAATCAGTAGCTCTTCGTGAGTCGCTCCGTGCGGGGGTCGGTCATCTATGCCAAACGTGTCACCCTCGCTTCAAACAACATACAGCTCGACAGCCTCATCAGTGTTAAACACCCAGCTCAGCATTACTCAACCATCACGACAAAACGGCCCTTCTCAGGACCACCATAAATTTTTTAAAGAGTATTATTTGAACATTTGTCGAGGTATCCCATCTTAGATTCCTACAATAAATTTTCGCATATTTTTCCTTTATGGAAAAAGCCAAAAATTCCGTGCGTTTTGTGCACGGAAATGCGTAATTACGTCATCACAAAACAAAGCTTTTCCATGATACCGTGATAGCATGCTAGACGGTACCTATCTTTATGCCTTTTGATGCAAATTTGAAGCCCCTCCTATTAAGAGAATTATGCCAAAATCTAATCGTGCCGAATCCCTAATAAAAAATAACCATAAACGAACGATAACCCAAATCATTGAACTATTCCATTTATGGTTTGGATGATACCCAGAACACGTCGTTAAGCAAATTAACCATATAATTTTTATTAGGGATTCTCTTAGTAGGAGGGGCTAAAAATTTGCATCTAAAAGCATAAACGTAAGTACCGTCCGGTATGCAGATTTCATTTTCGAATACCACAATTGATGGGCAGTTCAATCTATTCAAATTTCTACAATTGTACGAAATCAATTTAATATTTACTATACTTTTGCTATACTACCTTTCGTAATCCTACGTCAAATCTATGGTCGTGTCTTGGATACAACCTCTTACTTTTTTCTTACCGTGCAGGCTCTTTAGGTTGGATTAGTTAAAGCCCTATACAGTAAAAGTATGGACGTCTGTCAAAAGTTGTTCCAATCGAACCGTCAAAATGCACCGCTTTGCTCGATTGGAACAGCTTTTTTCAGTTTTGTGGTGACAGTCGTCCATACTTTAACTAGAGGGCTTTAGGATTAGTGAGATGTTGCTTCGAGAAGTAAATTCATAAACAAACAAAAATAAACATTAAAACAACACCAACAACACTCATCACCCGTCGAGAAGTAAACAAGCGATAGTTTATAATACATTTTTACGAGTTTCAATATTATTTCGTGTTTTAATTTTACATAAAATAATAAAACCGTATTTCTAATGCCTTACTGATCTGATACATCCATTGTAACATGGAAACCTTCAGTTTGTTAAGCTGCAGAATGTGCCTTGAAATTCCTAGCGACGGATCATTGACGTTCTCAATATCCGACACTTTTAAAGGAAGGAATCTTGGCGATTTAATCGAAAAGCTGTTTAACATTAAGGTATGTAGGTAATGGTAATCTACTCTTTCAAATTAAGTTGCTAACCATTGCAAAAAAACTATGAAACAGATTTCCAAAGACGATTTCTTGACAAATGTTTGTGTAGAATGTATGAATCGTATCAATACAGTCCGAACAATCTACCAGAAGTTTGTCCACAGTAATGAGAAATTGAAAGAACTTCTGGAAAAGTTCAATGAAGATTCGGAAGAAGTCGAAATACTGGTCATTGATGAAGTTCATCTACTGAATGAAGATGCCACGCAAAAGCAAGCCGACGTAGAAGTAGAGATTATACCTATCAAATCGGAAACGGAAGTCTCATCCACTAGTGTAGCGGAAGATTTCCAAGATGTGAAAAACGAGCATCAAATCGAAGTCGAATTCATCAACAGTCCGGAGGACATGGAAGAGGAATCGTTGGACAAGCCATCTTCTGCAGATGTAGTTGAAGAACCGTCGAATACAAAATTCAGTCCCAAAAAGTTCAAATCAGATATCCAGATTCCAAAACACAAATGTTATTTTTGTACAACAGTCTTTGAAACGGAACTGGCATTTACGGAACATCTACATTTGCATTTCGGGGAAGTGCCCTTGGTATGTAAAAAATGCAACAACTTGGTGATCAAAAGTGTTCGCCAGGCTAGCAAACATTTGGCTCTTCATGACGAGAACGAACGCCCCCATAAGTGTCGAATATGTGAGTTGCGGTTTTTTACCCGGGAGAACAGCTTGACCCATGAGCGAAAAATACACCGGATGAAAGTAAAGATGCAACAAAATACCGATGGTTATGCTGAGAGACAGAAGTTGAAAAAGTTCCAGTGTAAAATTTGTGGATTGTCAGCTCTTAACAGTCAGCATCTTAAAAAACACGAATTAACACATGGTCCTCTACCTGTTCATACTTGTGAAGTTTGCAGTAAACAATTTACTGCTAGAAAAAATCTGACACGACATCTGATGATCCATACTGGTAAGCTTGAATCGTAAAGAGAGTCGTTCAATCAATTTGTAAAATGTATTCCTTTGTAGGTGAACTGCCATACAAATGCGAATTGTGTGATCGTGCTTTTCGACAAGCAGGTGACCTGAAGGACCATACCAGAAGCCATACGAAGGAAAAACCTTACATGTGCAATGTGTGTGGTGTTCGGTTGCGAAACATTTCCATGCTACACGTTCATAGGAAGAAGTTCCATGCTTCCGCAACTTAAATCTACTGAGCCCCAGCATTCCATTGCGGTGAGTACCTGATATTTTCTTTCTTACAATACACACAAGAGTTCAAATTGGACCTGATTTGAATAGTGATTGTTCCATTCATATATGCCTAAGCGAATCCGAATGCCCTAAATGGTTCGTTTACATGTTTGTAATTGTAACACAACACATGAAGTGATGAATGACATATTATATCAATTAATGAATTCAAATAATTACCAATTAACAAAATTTAATTCAATCTAAAGTGCTTGAAATGGTAAAAGATGCTCAATAGCACAAAAAAGCAACCCTGATACACTGGGCCGTGAAAGGGGATAGCTAAGTAAACTATTTTTTGTGGTGTGCTTCTATTGTGACATACCCATATGTATTTTTGTGGTGCGACATAGTGGAAACGTGAGAGCGTAATTGGAACATTTACCCTATACAATATACAATTTAAAATTAACTTAGGCTGTGTTCCATTTGGCGAATTTTCACTTAAACTTGACAGATGGAAAATTTCCAAATTAACCTGCTATTCCAGCAGACTTATATCTGACAGACAAGGAATCAATTTTGACACACACCTTCTCGAAAATTGGCCGATCAACAACAGAGGGATTTTCGAACATTATAATTTAGTTTCGAAGTGTCAAATTTAAGTGAAAATTCACCAAATGGACCACAGCCTTAGACACTAACTTCAAATTGAAGCATTTTAGTCACTTGAAGGTGTCACCCGGGACGAACAAAGATTTAATATATGTCATGTTTGAAACGATGGGTGATTATCCTCTGGAGAAGGTAATGCTTATATCGGCATGATATATAACCGATTACAAATATTTTACTTTTCGGTTCGTTAATCGATTAATCGATTATTCGAATGAAAATCGGCTATCACTGCACCGAAAATAGTTTTTATCGAGGGGGGCGACACATCTAAATCTCAATTACAGATGCTCAACAAATCTCACACTAGCGAACCAATCTTCGAACAAATCTTCTTTCATTTCACGCATCTACTTGCATCGTGCATCATCTTGTTGCAGGATATTTTCAGAATCATCATCAATCTTCTTTCTACACGGTAACCAGCGTAAATACATTAATGTGTAAAATTCTACACATTTCGTGAAAAAAGGGGCCTACTCATAAAATGTGTAAACTGCGTTTACACATTTATGTGTATACCCAGCAAACGTCAATAGAAGAGTATTTTTTACACATTTTTCAAGAACGGTTTTTACAGCAAAATGTGTAAAAAGTAATCATTCTAGGACTTAAACATAATGGGTACGCATGGTTTTTTAATAAATTCGGAATTATCTTTTTTTTGTCAATGATATCATAAAGATTGCTCGGATACGATAATATTTTATTAAAAAAAAGAAATGCCATCAACAAAAATTAGTAGCGGCACCGGTGGTGTAGAGGTAAGCGTGATTACCTCTTACCCTAGCAGGCCTGGGTTCAATCCCAGTCGACGCCGCCGGGATGTTCTGAGGCATAACATCTCTGATCGCGCCGAGGATCACGCCTTCCTTCGGAAGGGAAGTGAAGCCATTGGTCCCTGGTTCATGAGTTGATGGGTCGTCGATAGGTAGGGTCCAGGTGTGGGAGCTGCATCCATGGCGTCGTTAGCATTGGTGCTCAGCACGGAAAACAAATCAAGAGGGAAGAAAAACAAAAATCAGTATGAAGCAAGCAAGCGAGACACCGGACATTGATCATGATTTTGTTTTTCTAAAACTTAGCTATGAAAAAGTATAGATCACCTACCATCTAGCATGTCCATCGTTGCACTGTTCAGTTTGGACCGTAGTTCCCGAGGTAGTTCCTCCATTTCCCTGCTGTTCACTAAAACATTTACGCTTAGCTATGGCTACAAATGGCGTGCGTCAACATAGCAGGATGCAGCAAAGTTTGAAGTTTTCTCTTACCCATTAATGAGTATAAAAATACACATTTTTTGACTGGTACTAAATTCTTAAAATGTGTATTTTTTCACACATTTTAAGATCTTCAAATTTACACATTTTTTGACAGCTGCATATAAATATAAAAAATGTGTATTTTTTTACACATTTATGTGTTTACGCTGGTTACCGTGTATCTACTCAGCGTGCGCGCAGCTAACCACAGCAAAACACAATTTTTCCTGCATCGTAGAAAGAGTCGCCCCCCTCGGTTTTTATGCAGCTTCCATAGAGATCTCCAAGCGCAATCTCACGAACACTAAAATCTAACATCCATATATAAAAATGAAGAAGAAGAAGAACCAACAGGATATCGCAATATCACAACTACTTAAAAAGGTAGCGCGCGGTCTCACGCACACTTTTTTTGCATCTGGAGAACTCTATTGGAAACGCACATGATTTTCATCCATAGAGATCTCCAAGCGCAATCTCACGAACACTCAAATTCAACATCCATATATAAAAATGAAGAAGAAGAAGAACAAAAAAGGTATCGCGATATCACAACTACTTAAAAAGGTAGCGCGCGGTCTCACGCACACTTTTGTGCATCTGGAGAACTCTATAATCAAAATTAATGGAACTCATCTGAATTTCACATAACATTTATGCGATCTCATTAATTTTATGTGATGTTTCATGTGAATTCCATTGTCCTCATAATATTCATGTGATTTTTGAAAGGGTCTGAGGCTAATCACAAATTACGTCCCCATGGTAATTGAAATAAACACGAATGCTGACCGGTTGGTGCAGCTCCCTACCCTAAAGGCCTGTATAGAGATCGAAGCGAAGCGAAAATCTCATACAAAATACTGCATTTTTCACCTGCGTGAAAAACGCAATTGGCAAATATTTCGCTTCGCTTTGAACTGTAAACAGATACGATCCAGCGAAATCTAATGTTGTGGATCGCATCTTTTTCGCTTACGTTTATTTTTTTTCGCGCATGCAGTGCTCGCGAAAAGAACAGCAGCCAAGCGAAAAGTTGACGTTTCGGGAGAGCGTATCTGTCAGATTTTCACTTCACCGGAGGTGTAAACTGATCGATTTCGTTTCACATGAACTGTAAACTGCGAAAAAAGGAAACTGGAAAATGTTCCACAAACATTTTTTCACAACCTTTTTCGCTAGCGAAATTTATGATTTTTCGCGTGCTTCAATTTTCGTTTCGCTTCGATCTGTATACTAGGCTTAATAAACAAATACTGTAAACGAACGATAACCCGGATATGTAAACTATTCCACAAATGGTTGGGATGATACCCCGAACACGTCGTTAAGCTCCTTTTAATGTTATTTTTATTAGGGTATCCTGATCATGCCAGGGAAGTAAAATTCAAGAGCAAATTTTAATTATGTCGTAAGTAACATTCGCACCAATCCGAGATATATAAATTTTTGTTTTGATGACCGAAAAGTTATTCCTATTTCCAAGTAAACACATATAATCTCATAGTGATAGCAATGTTTAACATATTTAGCAGGGTTTTAATTATACAAATGCAAATCGCTATGAAAGCTAGCTAGCTAAAAAATACTGGTTTTTGAGTCAAAAGTTATTATACGTCGTTTGGTGGCCCCTATTGTTATTTAAGTCAAAGTGTATTTACCAGGATATTCGGGAGAATTATCAATTCATCATATACAACCCATTCATCATTTTAGGACCACCGAAATCATCTTAGCAACAAACAGTTCGATTTATTCAGGTACGAACGTACGGACGGAACGAACGTACACTTTTCACGGGTTTCTCAGCGCTGTTACTTTAGTCAAACGGCATCTCCATAGAAATTGGGCGACTTAAGTAACATCGAAAACTATTTTGATCGGAAGGTGATTACGTCAAAAAGCAATTTGGCTGGCAAATAAATTTAAAAATGGGATTTGATCCTATATTCGGACAGTATATATAGTGTAATAGCAGGAGAATCGATTGACACTGATAGCTCGACTTTGTTTACCTTTGTTACATTCGACGTAATGAAAATTTGCTCTTGAATTCTCGATGAACATTTCAAATGGTCCTATCTGCTTTGATCGATTCTCTTCATCGACTTTCTCTTTCGTTAATAACTTAGCTGCAAAACCTTTCCCTGTTGCATTTGACGTTTTGGACGCTAGATAAGAACCTCCTTTATCAAACTAGGTATGTGGTAGAATTAGCGCGAAATCTGTTTGCATAGCAGTGGTTATGAAAAGAGAAAGTCGATGAAGAGAATCGATCAAAGCAGATAGGACCATTTGAAATGTTCATCGAGAATTCTCTTCCTCCGTTACACTCAAAAAATTTATCACATATCTAATGGATGAAAACCATGTGAATTTCACATAGCTTTCATGTGATCACATAGCTTAAAATCCCACCATAAAATCACATGAATCTTATGAGGCCGGTGAAATTCATATGAAAAATCATATAAAATTAACGTGATCGCATAAATGTTACGTGAAATTCAAATGAATTCCATTAATTTTGTTTATGGATGAAAATCATTTGCGTTTCCAATGGAAGTTACATGAAAACTATTTTCGGTGTAGTATTAGCATAGAGGTAACTCTAAGACTATAGTAGGTCCCGAAGAAATGTGCTCAACTTTTTGGCTCAGCTCTGGTACTATCTTCGGTCCCAAGCTAATCGATTCACCCCTCGAAACATAGGAAAATCAAATAACCCCTCATTTTATCTGTCAAACTTTTATAGCGAATCAAAACAAACATTGTGTAGTACTAGAATTTTGACTAGAATGGGGTGCGTTAATCGATTTGCTTGGGACCAATAGGCTAGTCAAGTAGTGAGCCAATTTAAAATCGTTAGTTTCGTATTGATTGTTGGTATTAGTGAGCAGTTTCACTAAACATGCATTTTACTGGTTGAAAATAGAGATCTCCAAGCGCAATCTCACGAACACTTAAATCCAACATCCATACATAAAAATAAAGAAGAAGAAGAAACAAAAAGGTATCGCGATATCACAACTACTTAAAAAGGTAGCGCGCGGTCTCACGCACACTTTTGTGCATCTGGAGAACTCTATATGGAAGTCGAACACATCGACATCTGATTTCAAGCTGAACATTGCATT